AAAGAACCTCCCTTTGCCAATATGTGTATTACATTAAACCCTTTATCGTCCAGTATAGAAATGTTGCAGTTTTTACTGTTGAGGTAACGAATGATGGGAAAGTTTTTAGAGAAAGCTGCAATAAGTAGTGGAGTACGTCCAAAAGAGTCAGTCATATCAAGAGATAATGGTGAATGGTCTATAATGTACTTGACTATACTCAATGATCCTTCTTCACAGGCTACATGAATTGGAGCCATTCCATTGAAATCTTTAATAGTGAGATCCAACTGATGCTCCTCCACTAGATGTTTGAGTATAGGAATAGAGCAACTTTCACATGATAAATGAAGAACTGTTGATCCGTTTGAAGTTTTAGCTGATACGTCACACTGAGGAAAACTAGTGAGGTAGAGAACCATAGCAACATGTCCTTTCTGACATGCTATGTGAAGGAGTGTATATTGAGTACTGTTAATTGGTTTAGTGGCATTAATATCAAAAGAATAATTGCTTAATAAATGCTTTAAACAATATAAACGGTTATATTGTGCAGCAAGAAAAGGTAACACACCTTTCATAAATGTAACTATATTGATATGGTACTCTTGTTTGAGCCATTCTAGTATATGAACATATCCATATGCCACTGCAGCTTGTAGTGATGATATTCCACGAAATATTCTAGGATTAAGGTTGTATTGTTTTAATAATAATTTCAAAATATCAACATTGCCGGAGGAACATGCACGTGTGACACAAGTATAGCCATTTATATCTTCAGTAGTGACATCACATTTCATTACATCAATTAGAAATGACACTAGTTGTGTTACCCCACTAGCACAGGCATAATGAACTGGTGGAGCACCATTATCATTAGTAGAATATAATAGATTATTATATTGTGGATATATATTCATAATATATTTAATAAAGGAAAAATGACCGTTCACTGTAGAATAATGAAACACATTCATGTTGTGTAAACCACCTACTCTATCCAAATTACATCCACAATCTTTTACTAAATACTCTAAGACATCAATAGCACCAACTTGAGCTGCACAATGAACTGCTTTCATACCTTCATTATCTTCAACTTGAGGATCTAGTTTATATTCATTAACTAATAATTTAGCTAATGAACTGCGTACTGCTTGAAGTAATGCAAACGACAATAGAGGCAATTGATAATTATTAGTAAGGTATTGGACTAGCTTAATGTTACCACTCCAAGCACTATGAGTTAATGCATTCCACTTCTTATTATCAATTATGTTAATGTCACTGTCTTGTACTTCAATGAGATATTGACTGAGATCAATATTTCCATGACGACATGAATAATGAAGAGGTGTTCTACCCTCATTACAGGTTATATTAATATCAATGTCAGTAGTATTCATAATATATTCTACCGCATTGATACTACCTGACATACAAGCTAATGCTAATGGTACTACACCTTTGTAGTCTGGTTGACTGGCATTCAAGCTATACTGAGATACAGTATAACTGAGTAGAGTGGGTGAACCTGATAAAGCAGCATAATGTACTGCAGACTGACCCTCATAATCTAATGAACTTGTATTAATACCATACTCCTCTAATACCTTCACTAATAATACACTACCACTAGTTCATGCTAAATGAACCAATGATTGACCAGTAGCAGTAATTGAATTTATATTAAAATTATCAATAACACTTGTCTTGAGGAGTGTAGATAAAAGGCTCACCCGTTTTTGTTGTTTAGCAACATTGACATTTAATGATACACATCTACGAACTAAGCCTTTCCGGCTCTCTACATTAAATGAAGCAATTTGCATTAGTAAAGGTATATCACACGGTAACGTGACCTTATTGTATACTTCTGTTATGCAATATCTATCAACCAATCCACTACATAAGTAATGAAGAGAAGAGCGACCACTATAATCAGCTTCTAGTAACACTTTATATCCAAAAACATCAACCATTTTCATAATGAAACCTGATGAAGCATACTGGCATGCTATATGAAGTGGTGTTGCACCAAAACGATCTCTTTCATTCAATTTAGTCTTGCTATCATTAAGATATTCTAACAGATCTACACTATCACTCATAGCACAATAATGTACTATTCCACATCCATTGAAATCTATGTCATCTTCTGAGAAAATAGCAAACTGCTTAAGCTGATGAACTAATGCTACCTGTCCACTCTTACATGCTAATAATGATAAAGTAGATCCTTCTCTATTGACCTGAGACACATTACACTTCTTCATTAAAAACATAGTCACGAGGTCAATGTGACCACCCAGTGCTGAGTAAAGCAATCCTGTGTTACCAGAGCTATCTGCTATGTCTGGATCAACGTGACATTTATTAACTAGATACTGTGCAATATTGAGATGGCCTTTATATGAGGCCATGTGTAAACTAATAACACCATCATCATCACCTTGTGAAGGATCGCAATCATAAACATCAATGAGGAGACAGAGGACATCAATTTGGCCACCATAAGAAGCAGCTAATGGTGGACTCCATCCATTTTTACCTCTTTCCTGAAGGCCAGTCTTGTCAATTAATTGTGGTACTTTATCTTTTAATCCTTTCCAACATGCTTCAATCAATAAAGTGCTGGTATTTTCATACCAGAGAGGATCATAAATATCTATATATAATATATCATTAATTAGGTTAATAACAATAATTACCAATAGGAGAATCATGGAGCATCTTTAATTTGTTTTCTGGCAACTATTAAGATAGAATATTACATTATTATCATTTTATTAATAACATGCATACCTGCTTCATGTCCTGTACATACTCATGACAAGTTAATTTCGTGATTCCAATCTCAGCCAATAAATGACACTGTTGATTGGTTAATGGAAAGAGAACAGAATGAAGAAAATCAGGAATGGAATATTTTAATTCCATACATCCATTTTGAATCGTACAAAAATGAAAATTATATTGTGGAACTTCAAATGCATTGGCAATCAGCTTGTGAAAGAAATATAAATCATTTAATGTGTAGTCGTCCCTGGCAACCTTAACAATCATTACTTTAGTGCCTGGAACATTAGAAAGACCAAACTCAATTGAGTCTGCAATTTGAACTGCTTGAGTATTGTTATTTTTAAAATAATCTTTTAGTTTCTCATGGTATGTTGACCACCTCCTCTGTAAATCTCTCTCATCAGTGATAAAAGTATTGACTAACTTAACGACAAGTTCAAAATTGAACCAGGAGATGTGTTTCTCCAATAGATTAAATAAATGCTTCATTGTTTTGACTTGGTCAAACTCAATTTTCATTGGCTGAATCACTTGGCTTTTACGAAAACGTGGGCTTAGTAGTAGTGCAATATAATCTTGAACAAAATCGATTACTTCTGAGACATCAATAGAACGAAACGATTTCTTAGTAAAACGCATATTATCAAGGTAAACTTCTTGTAGGTCTCCAATCATTTGTGTCAAGTTTTCAGGTGAATATTCAAATGATTTTTTCCTAACATAAAGGACTGAAGGCTTAGATTGAGGTGAAGTAGGAACTGGTAGCTCAGCAGTTGGGGTAGCTTCTAAAAGAATAAATAAAAATTAATGATTATTATATTACATTTACCTTTAGAAGATGAAGTATGAACTGGTGATGTAGTCGTCTCTCCACCACTAGTAAGATTAATGGCATATTCTTTTGCAATTTCATCAGCTAGAGCTGGATCAGCTCCTCCACTATGACTTTTAATGGAGCTACACAGCATTCTTAATGTAGGGACACCATGACTCTTATAGTCATAGTCCCTTTTTAACCAGCAATCAAATACTTTTCGTAGACAGGTTCTTGGCGGCTTGCCCTCTGCTTCAATCTCATCTATCTTATTAGGGCTCAGTCCTAACAGAATGCCAATAGAATCCCACCGTCCTGAAAGAACACCAGCTCTTTCCCATACCAATTGAAAATCATCAATATCTACCATAATAATAATAATGATATTATCACAATTATTATGATTATCTACTCACTAAGTTCTCTGTCAAATGTTTTCTTCAGCTCATCTGGTTTTGTTGACATTCTCGAGCGAACGAGCGAGCCCAATAGGCAGCCACACCCTTAGCAATTTTGCAATCCACGAGCCCCGCCCTAGTTATAACTGACCCCGCCCCTCAGGTGAGTAGTGATCGTGAGTGGACTCGAGTCTACAAATACAATATGGTTTTTTGTTTCTGTAGCCTTTGTAACAAAGAGGGAGGAGAAAAATAAGGGTGAATCAGGTGATGCCGTGGTTTTTGAAGTACAAAAATTAAAAGAAGCTTACACCAAGCAAGAAGTGTAGTGGCTGAAGAATTCATGCAAATAAAGTATATATCATTTTGTGCATGTACTGAATATGAAATAATTAATGTATATGTACACAGAGCTAAATATAATATTAATAATAAATAATCTTATGTGTAAATCTAAATAGACTTCCAGCCCAATGCACATTCAGGGCGGGATGTAAACTATAATTACCGTATAGTGCAAAATTTTTAGGGCTGTAAATTTTGCAAATTTGCCTAAGAATCTATTTTGCAGATTTAATTTTCGCTAATTTATACTGTCTGCCACCTTGTGCCCTAATAATTTGATTCAATTGCCAAAAGTCAACTGAGTGGAGCTCACCTAATCCCAATGTTCCTCAATTCTCTTAATTGTGTATAATTATTTATCTATCAACTTACCAGTTATTAAACTTATTGCTTTTTTCACACTGTGTCCGAGTTATTACTTATTTATTTTTAAAATTTCATTCTCTGTTGCTTATTGAATGGTATTTCAGAAAAAAAATTGCGGAAGTAATTTTTGCGAATCTTCAAAAAAATTGGGAAATCCGTGAAATTTACACCCCTCAAAAGCTTTGCACTATACGGTAGTATATAAACTATGATTTAGCATTAATTACAGTACAAATGTACATGTAAATTCCTGAATCTCTTCAAACAAAAGTGTCTATTTGGATTAACATTATTTATTAATAATAATTTTAAATTAATAGTTTCATTCATTAATTATTTCTATACATACATGGTTTGAGCTGATTCTGATTAATATTGAATTTTTTTATGAATTTTTGTAGTTGCTCCAAAATTAGGCCAAAGTTCCTATACATGTACGTACAGGGTCTTCAGCCAATTTTTTTCAAAAATAACAAGGGGAGAATTTTTGTTTCAATAATTTTTTTGATACATAATATACATGTTCTTTTGTTGTGTAGAAAGTTTAAGCTCATTCCAATCAAAATTGATTTTTAACAATAAAGTTGCTCATAATTTGGGCCAAGAACTTTGGCTTAATTTCACCGAAATTGAAAAGGGAGAAATGCCTTGTTTTTACATTTTTGGATGTACCTCAAAGTAACTTTTAATTATGGGTACTATTTACTGTTAGTTACCATATTTCCTTAAATAAAAGCCCGGGCATCTATTTCCTAAAATGGTATTTGTACCTCAAAAAAATAAGAAAAACTTTGGCCCAGAATGGGATTCGAACCCGTGACCTCATGCTTTTGACTTCTAGAACTTCTGGCATTATCCACTAGACTACAGAGTTACGCCTGGGCTAGTGTTGCGTATTTATAGTTCAATTCTATTGCTACCCCGTCGTTTATTTGCATGTGGCTTCTGTGTAAGGAAATACGGTACTTTTGCTATCGAAATAAAAATTACAATTATTAGTACATGCGAGAGTCCATTATTATATGGACACTTGGTACCATAATAACCAGGAAGAATGTAAAACATTAAGGGGCTATGCCTCCCAGTCCCAGTCACACCCAAAAATGCACGTACATACAGAAGTACTTCACATCAGTAGGCTTTGCATAATTACTTGTGTTAACAATATTTTTACTAATTGCAATTATCTATATACCCATAGAATCTAAAATTGAAATATTTTGTACCTGTAGTTAAAAGTTACTCTAAGGTAAGTTGGAGCTGATTCTGATTAAAATTTGCATGTTTTACTAATTTTTAAAATTGCTCAAAAATTGGGTACTGCCAAAATTGAAGTAGAGAATTCTCTATTTTTATTATATTTTTGATAAAACATGTACATTGTACTTACACGTATGTTGTGTAGAGCTACTTCTGATTGAAATTATGCATTTTAAAGTTGCTCTAACATCACTGAGGCCAAAGGCGTAAATTTTTTATTCTTCATTTTATTGCATTTTCTATTATACAATGTAATACATTATACATTGTAGAAAGTTTGAGGTGTTACTCTGTGTATTATTAGTTATTTATTTATTTTAGGAGTATTCAAACTTCATAAACTATATCCAATGGATCTATCCACAGGACAGGATAAACTGTTTAACGGTTTATATGAAACACTTGGCTCATTTCTTTAAGACTTGAACCTTATATTTAACAATGTGCTAAAGAAAGAATGTAATCAAACAAGATCTCAGGTACATGAGGGTAGAGAGATGGGGAGATAGAAAGGTTTGCAGATTAATGCATGTACATGTGTACATGTACATACATGTATAGAGGGCAGGAAGCAGTATACATGTACAATGTATAAACCTTAATCAAAAGAACTCTATGGTTATTGCTAGCGTTAGTTATCTGCCTTGCTACAATTAGTGTACACAAGCATTGCATGTAAGCTTAAGGGGTCCAACTGCACTAAATGAGAGATTGAACTATTTGTGACAAAAAGATATTATTTTATGTATAAAATTAGTATAGAATAAATAATAATTAAGATAGTTTTATTTTATGTTATTTTTATTTTTCTATTTTAGCCTCAGGAGCATTGTCTTTTTAAATGTTCATTTTGTGGTTGATCCACCAATGTTGTCTTAAATCGGACACTAAGTAAGTACATTTACATTAATAACTGTGCAATTATAGCAAATATACATGTACTTTTAATAGGTAAGCCTAAAGAAAGCAAACTGTTACATTATTGTTAAGGTCAATGCCTTCATCTATACACGTACAGTACACTTACATGTATTATAAAAAAATTGTCACCCTGCTACATGTGTATATTTTTTATGAAATTTAAATGTCCATTTAAAAGATTTTGCAAAATAAGTTTCTTCAATATTCAGTAATGTAGGACCATGTACATGTGTACACAGTGTTACACTTACATGTAGTTTCTTTGCTCTTTCTTTATCTCTTAATTGATGTACTAAGTCATGTTTGATTGCTTCAATCTTTGTCACAGTCTCACAAACATTACTTAACTTTACCCTCTTCTAACCTTTTTACATCAGTATGTGTTATAAAACTTATAATAATTGTGTATACTGTAACTGAGCAGTTGTAATAGCAATTACAGGAAGTGGTAGAATCAACAGAACTGTACTGGAACTGGGTTTTGGGGAAGCACAGCCTAGTTTTATAACAAGTGTGAACTTAACCAAACTGCACTGTAATCAAACCAAACCAGGCTAAAGTGGTGCAACAGATTTGGTGCTCTGAAATGGTGTAGTTAAGTTTTGAAGTTCAGTTGGTGTAGTTAAGTTGTGCAGTGTGAGCTGCTACCAACATGGTTCCTTACAACGAAACTAATCTAATTAAATGTAGGTACAGTCCTTTACAGCTGGGGGGTAGTGTGAACACACTATAGTATCCCTCATTACCGTAAGAGTAATGGCCCAGTTCAGTAAAAAAGAGCTTTTATTTGTTGAAGATCTTCCTAAGCATGTGGAGATAGAGTGTCCAGCTTGTCTTAAGATTTTGACCAATCATCATATTGTGAGCTGCTGTAGGCATAATTTCTGTGGGGTCTTGTATTGAGATAGTAAAAGCTAGCAGTGGATCCTGTCCTATTTGTAGAGAGAAGAAATATCAATCATTTATCAATAAGAAGTGTTCACGTATTATCAATGGACTGGAGGTCTACTGCAGTAATAAAGAGAAAGGATGCCAATGGAAAGGAGAATTGAAGAATATGTCTACTCATTTTAATGAAGAGAAGAGAGAAGGAAAATGTCAATATGGAGAAGTAAAGTGTTGACATGAGAAATGTCAAGAGAGAAAGCAACGTAAATATCTTAAGTATCATGAAGATAAAGAATGTCCTCATTGTCCATTTTATCGCCAATATTGCTGGAGGATATTAGGTACAATGTACATTCCTCTTTATTACTAAGGATCATTATAAGAAATGTTTGTGGTATCCTGTTGCTTGTCCTAATAAATGTGTGTCTACTCATATCCCAAGAGGTAGTCTCATTGCTCATGGGAATCAAGAGTGTCCATTAGGGCCAGTAGATTGTGTTTTTAGTTGGGCTGGTTGTAATGATAAGCCATTACGCAAAGATGTACATGTACACACTGCTGATACTAAACACATGACACTAATCGCACTAAGTATGTGTACATGTACATGTACAATAATAAATCAATTTTGTACATAATTGATGACACATGTACATTTTATGTACTCTTAATGGCTGAGTCTATGCAAGAAAACTTTTACTGTTGAAGTAACCTTTATTGTTAACCATTATTTTTACTTTTACACTGTTATTGTTAAAGTCAATACCTTTATGTATACATGTACATGTATTACCTATGTAACAAAATTGTTTGTCTGCTATATTTGTCATGAAACATCCATTAGATACTTTTGTCTTGCAAATATTCAGTAAGGCTATACTGTACATGTATACAGTATGGAATCATAATCTTACTACTATCAGAATCTTGTGCTTTTATTTCTTTGTTTAAATCTAGTAAATTGATTGTCATTGGACTAGTGTACAGTTCCCATGAATCACTTGTCAGTAATTATCTCATATACACATGTATATTAACTTAAGTACACGTACATGTAGATACTTTTTAGTTACACAAACATGAATGTATACTATAACTGATTGTAATAACAATGACATTAAGTGGTAGGATCACATGATACTAGTCATTCCTTACATTACGAGTAATGGCTCAGTTTTGTAAAGAAGAGCTTTCATATGTTAAAGAATTACCTGAGCATGTGGAAATAGATTGTCCAGTTTGTCTTAATGTTTTGACAGATCCTTATATTGTGAGCTGCTGTGGGCATAATTTCTGTGGGTCTTGTATTGAGATGGTAAAAGCAGCTGGTAATGGATTCTGTCCTATGTGTAAAGCAATACCTGACAAGAAATTTTCACGTATTATCAATGGATTGGAGGTCTACTGTAATAACAATAAGAAAGGATGTCCATGGAAAGGAGAATTAAAGAATATGTCTACTCATCTTAATAAAGAGAAGAGAGATGGAGAATGTAAATTTGAAAAAGTAAAGTGTCGACATAAGAAATGTCAAGAGAGAAAGCAACGCAGATATCTTGAGGATCATGAAGATAAAGAATGTCTTGAATGTTCATATCAATGTCGATACTGCAGCAGTAAAGGTACGCTCCTTTATATTACGAAAGATCATTATGAGAAATGTACAGAATATCCTGTTACTTGTCCCAATGAATGTGTGTCTACTCATATGCCACGAGGTAGTTACACTGTTCATCTGAATAGAGAGTGTCCATTAGGGCCAGTAGATTGTGTGTTTAGTTGGGCTGGTTGTATGGATAAGCCATTACATAAAGATGTACATGTACACACTGCTAATACTAAACACATGACACTATTAGCTGTAGCTTGTGGACAATTGAAAAAAGAAAATGATCAAATAAAAGCACTGAAAAAAGAAGTAGAGACATTAAAAATAGAAAATGAGAAAATGAAACAAGAAATAGCAGATTTAAAGAGTTGTCTTAGCCATGAGTATCCATTATTACCAGTCGATGTTGGAAGTAAAGCAGTTCATTTTTATCCTGGTGCTTATGGTCAGCACATGTCAGGTAGAGTGATGATTAATGGTGGAGACTACTTTGTATTTTGTATTACTTTCATTTCATGAAGGAAAGTTTGATAAATTCAAACCAAAACTTCCTAAAATATTTATGAAGTATAGAAGTGTAGATACCCCATTAATATAGACAACACTGAAGCTACTTATGAACATATACATCATGATATTCTTAACAGGATCAGGTGGAGGGTGGATACTACTGTACCACAAGGAGTAATTAAAATAAATGTAGGCAGATTGTTATGGTTTGATAGTTTTTCATTTAGTATTTATACTCAGTAGTGGCAGTGTGTATATATTATGCTAATGTAAATGTTATTGTTTTTAAATGACAAAATAGAAATACATTTTGGTACCTGGAGGTTGGTGGGCAAGTTTTTGATTTTTCCTTACCATGTGGCCGTGGCTCAATAATTGAAAATTTGCTATTTTGCCAAATACATTTTATAATACAGTATACTAACCAATAATGAACATGTTGCTCAGACTCACCCCATATCATGTAACACTTGTAATTTCCCTCTCTCTCTCTCTCACTCTTATCTTAATTCTCATTCAGTTGGTTCTGGTCTTCCTTCTGCTAATACACAACAAACAAGAAATCAATTTCACTTTCAAGTAAGACATGCCATACACACCTCATGGTAATGCAAATAACCAGTTGCCAAGTACTGTTTCTAGCTTTAATTATTATTAGTGCAATAAGCTTGATACTAAGTGATTGGTGCCATTTAGTTGGTTTTAATTTGGTAAATTTATTGCCATGTAACATTGGGCAAATCCATAATGGTTTAAAATTTTTTTTTATTTTGGCAAATGGCTATGTATTAATACGCTAATATTCACTGAAAGATCCACCTTCAAGATTACAGTACATGTACATGTATACATGTATGTATAAACAATCCAACTACATGCATGTATGTGTAAGATTTTTCCAGTTTATTATAGCAGCAATAGCTTTTGCATGATGGACACTTTGGTACAGGAAATGGTGCTATACGTACTTAAAATTAAGAAATTTCTTGTATTAAAATTTATGCTAGGCTTTAATGATTGCTCACTGCTCTTTTTAATATGATACATATTATGAATTCCTTCCTCTCTTCTTCTATAGGTAACATGATATGAATGGTGTGGTTGATATTAAAAGTATTTGATAATAAAGCTAGTATAAAGATCCAATAGAGCAATGGATGAATTTTAATTGACAATCACTTTTGCTCAAGATTTTTAGAAACAGTAAGTATCATTATATAGTGTAGATGTGTATGTACATTTTACTTTAGTGTCATGATGAGTCCTAAGGTAACAAATAAGGAACCACTTGATAATGCATGTACATGTACTTGACTTCAGCGTTAGTGGTAGTGCTTTATCAGGTTAATGATATGCACAAGTAGGGCAATCCAAATTCATCTTTAAACTTGATTTGACTCATACGTGGCTACTGGCAAGTTCCTGTTAGTCTTGAGGACCATCCGAAAACTTGGGTAAGCATAGGGTAAGCATCTGGCTGAGATACTACATTAAGGCATCTATAATTCACACAGATTTGAATTGTGTTATCTTTCTGGGCCACTAATGCGATTGAAGCTGCCCACTGACTTGATGAGTGCTCGATGATCTCTTGATTTTCCATCTCCTGGAGCTCTTGAGCCATTGTATCTTTATACGCATTTGGTAACTGATAGGGTGCTAGTTGAATTGGTGTGCCTGTGCCATCTCCAGTTTGAGTAGAATGAGTAGCTGCATGTAAATCATGTTGTTGTGCATCATGTAAGCTACCTACCACCATCTGATCAGAAGGGGTCCCATTCCAGACTGGAGTATAAGTCATCAGTGCTTCCTCATCATTCTCTTCCATACTCAGGTAGTTACTACAGTTTGAATTGGATCTGTGGAATTTCTTTATCATATTGACATGGAAGATCCTTTCATTTCTTCTTGTCTTGCATGTCCACTAGATAGGTCACCCTTCCCTTTCTCTTCACAATCTGATATGGTCCATGCCACTGAGCTAAGAGCTTATCCCATGAGGTGGCAAGTAACTCCAGTATTTCATCCCCAGTCCCAAATCTAGCATCCTTGTCATACCATCTCTTCTGACTATCCTTAGCTTTCTCCATTGAGACCTTCACCGTTTTTGACATCTCCTGTCATCTGATTCTCTCTGGTTGACAACACATAGCTCACCTTCCAATCATTACTTTTCTCCTCAGCTTGCCAAGTTTGCTTAGCACATCCAGAGGTCTTGTACACTTCTCCCAAACAACAGTCCAAAAGGAGAAAACCCATGGATGGTTGAGGTACCCCCCTGTAGGCAAAAAGTAAATAAGGTATATGTATGCTTGTCCCAGTTTTTCCTTACTTGTCAGCTGTCTTACATAACATGGACTCGAGTGTTGGACTGAATCGCTGCACAATTTCATCCACCTGCTGGTGGTATGGACAAGTTCAAATTGCTTTAACATGTAGCAATTGATACAGCTCTGTTAGCAACTAAGAGGTGAATTTGCTCCCTTGGTCTGTAAAAATCTATTGGGGTACACCCATTCTTGAAAATATCTTGATAAGTTCCTCTGCAACATGTTCTGCATCAATGCTTTTCAATGGATTAGCCTCTGGGTACCTCATAGCATAGTCGCAAAGGACAAGGACTTACATGTAGTGGCCCCACAATATTCATTGCCACTCTAGAGAACTGTTCTTCAATAATAGGTAGAGGTGCTTTCTTGACTCCTCATAGTGATAACTTCTGGCAGATTGGAGATGCTTTACAAAACTACTTCACATCCTGAAACAGTGTAGGCCGGTAAAAATATCGAAAAGTGCATTGGTGGGTCTTCTCTTATCCAAGATGTCCTGCTAAAGGAATTTTATGGGCCAACTGTAACACCATCCTCCTGCATTCTTTTGGTACTACCAGCTGCTCCACTTTAGACACTTGTTCTCTTCCTGGGGGTGTCCAGTGTCTCTACTTGTACAAGTCCATCCTTCCTAAAGAATCAAGGCCCAGCTCTACTCACACGTTCATCAGCTGCTGCTCTCACTGCTTTCAATGATGAATCCTTCTCCTGTAGCTGCTGGAACTCCTTTGTAGTGAGATCCAGTGAGTGAATAGGTACTACTTGATTATTAGCAGTCTGATTAACTTGCCTCTGTTGTCTTCTTGCTAGCTTTGTGTTGTGTGTTTAGTGGTATGCATGGTGTGTGCAAGGGGTGTACATGTATGTATATAGGTGTGTAATATGTCCATTAGGTGTTTGCTCCAACAATAAAGGTTTTAGGGTCACTTCTGAAAGTACTTCGTGCTCCCTAGCTAGTCTCTCCCACTTCCACCTGTCTTTGCTTGCCTGCTTGAGTCTCCACCAATATAGCATTATCATTACAGTCGTCCAATCTTATTTCCCATCCTAACAACTCAACAGCACCTTCACATCTGTTCCCAACAACACTGCTACTGGTAGAGTATCAGATACAGCTACCTTGACAGTTATCAACTTCCCTCCTATACTCAGATATGTATGGTGTCCCCATGAGCATAGCGTATAGTCATCTCTTCTCCCTCCTGCATCCATTGCGATGGGACTAATCAACTGCATACCATTGTTCTGGAACAACCAATTTCTAGCAATATTTGAATCATTTTTCCATTGATTGAGCTGATCCTGATAATCCCTTGCTAGACTTTTGACCCATTATATCTGAGCCTGCTCCTGTCTTCTCTGGGCAATGGGATACAAGGTGTCCAGGCTTCCTACAATGAAGCAGATCTCCTTTGAATCTGCTTACTTCTTGCTACACTGAGTACACTCCTTCTCTAAGTGCCCTATCTTAGCACAGTAATTATACCTGTACTTGCTGATCCTCTTTGTTTCACTCCACTTCTCATACTAGCTACCTGAATCTTACTAATTCATGCTGATGGTATTGAAAATAAAACTGCATCAAACATTAGACTGTAAAGAAATAATTAATATCAGTACTCACCTCTTCTCTTTGATGACTGTATTTCTCTTTGTAATTTTCTTCTCTCCCTTTCCTTTTGTCACAAAGCTTTCCTTTCTGCTTCCTCTTCTTTTTCTCTTTTTCCATTAAATTCTTATGATATTCCATTCTAGTTATTATTCTTCCTGAAGCTATATGTGTTGTATTAGGACGTTTGACATCTGGTAACTTTAGAAATGATTGTATTGTTGTTTGTGGTGGTAGGGTATGTATAACATGTATTCAATTCTATGTTTCGATTAATACAGGTTTCAACTTTCAACAAAGAAGACACTCTTTTTCAATCAAAATTTCTATTCATGTGTGTGAAACATGTGCGCATGTTCAATAGAGCCAATTACAATAACAATGAATATTAATGATAATTGACAGTACATTTTCCACACACTCCTCACCTGTTGACTATAATAAAGTATAAATAGTCAACACTCACATAATTATGTACACAAATAATAAAGTAATGTTACACATATACAGTAATCAAGAGTTCTATAATATTAAATCCTTTCAGTTCATCATTCGACTCACAGTTCCTTATAGGCAAGTGATCGAGCCAAGATTTGGTCTCTTGCTTCTAAAG